CTACAATAGGAAACAGAGAAGGAAGACTGCAGTTAGGTGAAAATAATTATTTGTGTTTAGGGTTGAGTTCTGCAAACCAAAATGTTATTGGTACTTCTGCTCTGGAACTCAAATAAAAGGTGAAAATAAAGATGTGGATTAACCTGATGACTGGGACTTACTCTTCATGTTTCCCTCTTAAGTGCCCGATGCTTGCTTTGGCCTTATATCACATTTGTGTCATATAATGTTTTCTTTTTTCTTTTTTAATTTTTTGTACCTTGTCAAAGAAGTAAAAATCTGCTCTTCATGTAGTGTGCCATTATCACTATTTTTTTTAAGAGATTTTTGCTCTAGAGTACATGTACTCACTGGAGAGACAGAGAGAGACAGAAAGTGAGAAATCACGCCCCAGGGGGGATGGCCACACCACAATCTCTTCTCTTCCATTCTCCTCTCAGGATTTTGGGTATGCACACACATGTGCCTGGAGTGCGTTTCAAGCCACCAGGTCCAGGACTCAAACCACAATTGACTATGTGTGAGTCCAGCGATGTAACCATTATGCCATCTGTTGGTCCCCCATCATCACTATTAACACATAAAATATAAAATAGGCTTGCCTAAATAGCCAAAAGGTAAAAATGAGAATGAGCTTTTTGTTTCTTCATTTTTTATCATACTGTGTGTTTTGTTTTGTTTTTTGGCTGCCAATTATGAAGAATGAAATACAAACTTACCACACTCTGGACTCATTATGCCCACTGCAGCTCACTAAGATGTAAGGTGTGCTAGAGACTCACCTGAGCTCCATCTGACACATCTTTTCTGCAGTGAATTTGGGATTCTTGTGATACTGGTTATGAATGAGAGCTGGATACTGCATGCTGACTGCCTTTCACTCTGATGTTCTCTGCAGAAACTGCCTCTTTGGGAGCCAGGACCTGTGAAGATGATCTTACAGAGCAGCCATTGAGAGCAACCTCAGGTAATTATTTCTATTTCTTCTTGAAATCTCGCTTTGTCTTCAAGGAGGTATATTTGTTATTCTCATAATTTAAGTAATAAAGGTTCTCGGGAAACTGCTCAATTAGATCTAATCAGATCCCTTATACAAATATGTAACAAAACAAAATAATACCATAGCCAATATTTGAAAGCATATGAAAAGTGATGTTATTTTTAGAGCAGTTTTAGTTCACAGAAAAATTTAGAGTCAGGTACAGATTTCCCATATATCTCCCTGCCCCCACACATGCATGTCCTCTCTCATTATTACCATCCCTGCACCCCTGATCAGAACATTTGTCCCCATCGATGAACCTACACTGACAGATCATTGTCACACAAAGACAAGAATTTACATTAGGGTTCACTCTTGGTGTTGCACATTTTATGGGTTTGGACAACATCATGCAGAATAGTTTCACTGTCCTAAATTCTTTTGTGATCCACCTACTCACTGTTTTCCTTATATATCTGAAAAACTGACCCTTTACTGTCTCTACTGCCAGAATGCCATAGAGTTGAAATCTACCATACGTATTAGATTCTTTTCAGATTGACTTCTTTCACATAGTACTATGCATTTAAATTTTCTCGATACTTTTTTTGTGGCCTGATAGCTCTTTTCCTTTTTGTCTTGAATAGCATTTCATTGTCTTTATATATGAGAGTTTATTTATCCATTCACCTAGTGAAGGAAATTTTGGTTGCTGCCAAGTTTTGTAATTATGAATAGAGAGACTATAAATATGTGTGTACAAGATTTTGTGTGCACACAAATTTTTAGCTCCTTTGAATAAGTAGCAAGGAGCACAATTGTTTGTTTATATGGTATGGGTTTGTTTAGTTTTGTAAGAAACTGCCAAACTGTCTTCCTAAGTGGCATTTTGCATTTTCCATTCCTACCAGTAATGAATGAGAGTTCTTGTTGCTCCTCATCCTCATCAACATTTGGTGCTGTCAGTGTTCTAGATTTTGGCCCTTCTAATAGATGTGTAGAGGTGTATTATTGTTTTAGTTTGCCTTTCTCTGATGACATGTGTTGTGGAACATCTTCTTTGGTATTGTGTTTTAACGTCTTTGGCCCGTGTTTTAACTGGATTTCTTTTCTTTCTTTTTTTTTTCTATTTAGTTTTAAGAGTTCTTTTTTTGTCTGTGTATATATGCACACACATATAAATACATACACACACACACACACACACACACACACATATATATATATATATAAAGAGAGAGAGAGAGAGAGAGATTTTTGCTCAGGGTATGTGTGCTCACTAGAAAATAAAAGAAAACCAGAGACAGAAGGCAAGAAATCAGCCCCCAGAGGGAATGGCCATGTCACAATTCCTTCACTTCCACTTCCTCTAGGGATTTAAGTACCCATACATACACACCTGACATGTGTGTCAAGCTCCAGGTCCAGAACTCAAACCGTGGTCACCTATGTGGGAGTTTAGTGCCTTAACCATTATGCCACCTGCTGGTCTCCTTTAGTTATTTATTTTTTTAAAGATACTGAAATCTATATTTCTATCTCAGTCTCTTTGAGAAATTAGATGTACTTATTCACATGCTGTATGGATATTTTCATCTAGATGTTCTATTGAAAGCCCAATACAAATTTAACTCTCCTTTCTGAAAAATCATGTCTTCCCCTGTTTTCTCTACCCCAGTTGAATACATCATGCCATAGATCTAGATACCCAAATAACAAAACTAGAAATCATTATTTTGGCTCAAAATATTAGTGATTGCCTTCCATGTGCCAAGAACTACTGGGCTTGTTACAAATAAGAACGATGAGGTCCCTCATTTTAGGTAATATTTCTAAACAAATACATGTATTTTAAGATGACAATACGTGTGATAAAAGAAGTGAAAGAAGTGATGCAACAGAGGTCCTCCAGCTGTGGTCTCCTTACTAGCAGCATTGGCACAACCTGGTAACTTGAAGGAATGCAAATTCTGGGGCCCTTCTCTAGGATTATTGAATTGGGAGACATTGGGAGTGGGATCCAGCAATCGCAACTTAACAAGCCCTCTAGGTGCCAGTGTTTTTTTGCTAAAGTCTAAGGACCCCATTTATGTGACAGGAGATGAGCTACTTTGAAAGTGGTGGTCACTAAGTAAACGACAGGTGAGCTGAGTCCTGAATAATGAGTAGCCATTTATACAGAGAGTCCTGGAAATGTATTCCTGACAGAGATGGGAAGAAGTGGGTCATATTCCGGGAAGAGAAAGAAGGCTAACATGGAGGAAAATGAGTACATGAGGAAGAAAGCAGCATAAGGTGTAGTCGGAAAAGTAAGCAAGGGCCAAGTCGTGTCAACCACAGGAAAGAGTTGATACATTATTTAAGTGAAATAGTAAGCTATGACAAGGCTGAAGCAGGAACATGGCTTGATTTTGTTTAGATGCACAGAATAAATTATAAGAAAGCAAGAGCAAATCTTACTGCTTATGAGACTGTTTTAGGAATATAGATCAGAGATCAAGAGTACTAGAAGTGGAAATTTGAAGAAATAGGTGGATTCAGCACATATCAAATATTTTGGAATTAACAATGTTGGGACTGGCTGAAAGATAGTGTGCATATGAAAAAGAAAGAGAAGAATCAAGGATGACTTTGCTCATGGTGAATGCTGTCACTATTAACTGAAATGGTAAAGATGGGGAAAAAGAAGTAAGGTATGTTGGGAGGGTTTAAAACCACTGTCCTGGGCATATTATGTTTTATATGCCTTTTAGACATTCAAGTGAAGTTATAAAATATAAAGCCATGGGTCTGGATGAGATTATCTTGGGGGGTATAATGTAGAAAGAAAAGAGATCTTAGTACCAATGCTGGAGACACTCCAATATCTTGATGATTTTTAATGGGGGAGGCCCCAATAAAGGATCATAAGGAACTTCCAGAGAGGGAGGATGAAAACCATAATAGTCTGATGCAATAAAATCTAAGAGTAGTACATTTTTCCAAGAAGAGGGTAGTTATGTCTACCGAGCAAAGAAAGTTAAGCAGGATAGGGAGAAGTGACCGTTGGATTTTACAGCATGAAAGTCATTGGTGTATTTAAAAACAGCAATTTGTATTAACAGAAGCCAGACTGCAGAGTGCTGAATAATGAATGCTTCTTAGTATAGGGTAAAAACACAATAAATAAAAAGCCCAAATAAGACTAGCAAAAACAAACCAAACTAATACTCAATTTTTTTTTTTTTTTAATGACAAAGAGGGTGCCTATGAGAAAGAGAGAGAAAGAGAAAAAGAGAGAGAAGAGTGGGGGAGTATAAGTATTTTTGACATGGCTTCTCCTGGTTGTGATTCTCCTTTTCCAGCCTCCCAGTTAGCTAAGACCACAGCTGTGTGTCACTGCACCTGACCTGTTGAGACTGGGCCAGGAATAGAACCCAAGCCTCCCATACCGACTCAACCACTGCAACTGGGCTACACTTTCACATGTATTAAAGAGGGAAATTGAATAGAATCTGGACCTTCTTTTTCTTCCCCCAATTTTGCTCTTTCAATTCAAATCAATGTTCCAACTAACATGTTCACTGTCTATGACATTCCAGGCACAGTTCTAGGTGCTTTTGGCAAAGAGACAAATAATCATTATTTCAGAAAAAGATTTCCATATTAGGATGAGTAAGTAATACACAGAAAATTTCTACATGCAGAGTTAAGTTGTTAAGACATCAATGCACATGGAAAAGAAAAAAAAAATATACCAAGAAATACTAATCCTTGTTCAAGATCAAAGAACATTTTTTGGAGAAGAAAATAATTAATAGTACTACTAGTAATACAGCTATTGTTATTTTTTTTAATTTTCTTTAAATTTGCTATAAAGTGCCATGTGCTCACCAGATGTCTCACCAGAGAGAGAATGAAAGAGCAAAAGAGAGGGAAAATGAGAAAGCACCCCTCAGCATTGTTGCACTCAAACAGTGCAGTCAGCCATGTGAGATCCAGCCGCCTTATCTACCATGCCACTAACTGGCCCACTGGTATCAATGTCTAATACTTATTTTGTGGTAGGCTCTGTGCTGACTGATTTATCTCATAAAAAACCTATAAAGTAGATTTTATTAACTTTATTTTTACAAATGTTGAAAGTGATATTTCCCAAGCTGGGCTTAAAGGACAAGAGGGAGTTACACAGTGAAGAAAGTCATAGTATTAGGTCGTTTGAAAAGTCGTCATGCATTTTTGCATAGAAAACAGATAAATATATCATGACTATTCTGACAATACAATAGATATGATAAGGACATATCATAGTATTTATAAACATTACAAATAGTTGACTATTTCTTGAAAGGTGATTACAAAATGTGCCCTGAGGGTGATCCCACGACTTGGTGGTTAAGGGAACTAGAGTCCACAGGACCAACCAAATAGTTTGAGTCTTGGCCCCCTTGGTTTGAAAAACACGTGTGTGCATATGTGCCCAATATTCCAAAAGGAGGGAGAGACAGAGGAAGAGGGATTGTGGTATGATCACACTCTACCGGGGGTGCTTTCCTCCTTCCCTTCTCTCTTTATCTCTCTACCTCTCTGGAAAGCACATGTGCCCTGTGGCAATTCTTGGACAAAATACAAAATGTGACCTGGACCAGGTATCAGCATCACTTGACAACTTGTTAGATGCAGATTCCTAGGTTTCACTCTAGACCAGCTAAATTATGCTAAATTAGAAATCCTAAAGATGGGGTCCTGCAATCCTCTTTTTCTTTCTTTTTCTTTCTTTTCTTTTTAATTGCTAGAGGATGTGTGCACTCACCAGAAAGAGACTGACACACACACACACACACACACACACACAAACACACATACATGGAGGGGGAGAGAGAAAGAAAGAAAGCACTCCAGCCCCACAATGAGACATGGTCATGCAACAATTACTTATCCTCCATTTGCCCATCTTATTGGGAGTTGCGGCATGCGGACATACTGGATATGTGTTTTAAGCCATGGCATTGGGATTTGAAACTTGCTCACCACATGGGATCTGGCTCCCTGGACCACTTGGCTACATACAGGTCAGCCTTCAGTCTGTGTTTTAACAAGTCTTCCAGGTGACTTTGATGTCCCAAGGTGTGAGCAGAATGTTTGCAAGTATTAAGAGCTAGATAAAAAGTGGAGAAAGATGAGCCTGGAGTAGAAGATAAGGACCAGGTACCTGGAATATACCCTTGCCATGTACAGAAGAATGAGCTTGTCTATGTAAGTGATGCGAGTCACTGAAAGGTTTTAAGTGAGGAAGTCAGATTTAAGTAGCTCATATGGACAGTGGGTTTTGGTGGCGACAGACTGGATTAGGAGACCTTGGAGGAGACCAGGGAAAGAATTCTCACCTGTCAGGTGTCTTGAGAGAGATGCTCAACATATAAAATTAAAGATACTTAAATTGCTATCCTCTGCTTCCTCTTCATATGATTACGACATGGGTTTAAAAAGTGTGCAGTAATTTCTTAGAAGACTCATAAGAGAGAGCTCCTAAATGAGGTTGACTATTAAAACAATGAGAACAAGAACAGTTGGCTGGTACTTAGAGGGATTTCACTGAAGCAGACTTGTTTTGAAATGACGTATTTTAATTTTTGTAGGAAAATAAGTGGTAGTTTTAGTAACTTATTCAATAGTCATTTGGGGCATGTTAAAAATAATAGGGGAAGTTAACTGTGTCATGCTTCTGTAATATAAAAACTACAGCATTTTATCTTCTATTATTTTGAGATATTTAAAAATGAAGATGTATTATCATTTATCTGAAAATTGGGAAGTTCTAATGGACCTTAACGCACATTTTAAACATAAGTACATACATGTCACAAAATTAAACATACAAATAGATATTGTATTTTCCACATTTCGTGAGGTGAAGGGATAGTTAAAAGTACATATTTTGTGAATGCAACAGTATTGTGGAGTGCTATAATACTGTCATTAGTATTACAGGAAGCATATTAGTTGATGGGAATGAAAGCAACTTTTAAGCAATGTTTATTTTGCCATTTTCTATAGCATATTTCCCTCAGCTCTCAGATGTCTCCTTAATACACTTAATGTGATATATATATACTCACACTATTTATACATAAGTGTACACATGTGTATATATATGTGTGTGTGTGCATATAGACATATATACATCTCTACACACCTATGTATTTCTTATAAAGTATGGCATTTTTCAATTGAGGATACATGGTACTTGAAAGTGAGAATATAGCCACTCCTTCATCTAGCCCGCATATTCTAACCTACAGGTTTAGGAAAAAAAATTGGCTTTTCCATATTAATGCTCTGACTTTAAAGTTTATTTATATAATGAACATCAAATTTATTTCTAAAACTCTCTTTGAGAATGAAAGTGGCCTTTTATTCTGACTTATATGAAACTTTATGGTGTGTATAGGTTACCTTTTGATTATTATTTTTTTACATGATTAAAAATTTGTAAAGTTCTATGGCTCCAAGGAGCCTACCTGTAATAAACAGCTTTCGCCTTCTAAACCACAAAACAGGTCTGAATTGCTTGAGCATTAGAGCTAATTGCCTGCCTACTTCAAAGGAACAACCCGCAAAGAGAAGGAAAAAAGTCACAGAGGCAAAGCATTGCAGGCAAATCCACCTCTAAAGGTTATGAGTTGCGGCTTGGAGGAGCCGGGGAAAGTTATGGCCTCAGAACTGCTGTTTGCGATTAAGTTGATGGGAAGAGTCTATCCCACAATCTTTCCCTGCTGCCGACACAGAGGCTTTGTTCACATTCAGATTTCTCAAACTGTTGCCAGGGTCAGGCTGAGGTCAGACACCACAGTGATGTATAGAAGAACATGTCTGGGAATTTCTCTCACACTTAAAACACATACCAGAAAATGAGGAAGAGGACCCTACAAAATCTGTCTGATGAGACCCAGATTATACTGCAGCTTTTCTTTTAGTGCCTTCATAATTTTCTTTTTCTTCTCCTGACACACCATGTTTTATTAATGTGAGTTGCGATAGCCCTTACAATTTTATGTCCCCTCAAGATAAGGACACTCAGTAGCACTCTGACACTTCATTTTCCAGCCCTGGGGGAAAGGTCCAGTAAATCTACTCAAAGAAGTCTTACATCCCTTCTTCAGGATGAGTTGAAAAGTAATTGCCACGGGCTGTCGTAGGTCGCAGGCCTGACACCAGATCTCACATCATGTGTATGGACTTGGCAGGGACATAGCCCCATCCAGTCATGATCTCAGCAGTCCAACCTCCCAGACCCAGCTCGGCCACCATACCCACTAGCCTGGCCTCATGCTGGGAGGAGAGAACTTGTATTTGACCAGTAATTAGCACTGACCAGAGAAAGCAAGCTAGAGCCTGAAGAAATGTTGATTCTTTTCAAGTCAAATGAGCGCATGCACTTGCCTAAAAGGGGAGCTTCTCCTGGACCTGAGAAGACGGACTTCTTCGACAAGGGCCTCTTCTCCACTCTTGTGCAGAGGCAAAGTGCAAAAATGGGATACATGGATTGGTATAGTGCCTTTGAGACTCACAGTTGAGACACTCTTATGCTGAATGTATTAAATGTCCTTGTATTTTCTTTAGCTTTAGAGTTTCCCATTGAGCCCAGGAGTGTCCCTCTCTGCTGTTTTCCTGCTCACCCAGTTGCAGAGCATGACTGTGGCTGGCAAGTGAGGCTCTAAACAGATTTTTTTTTTTTTTTTTTGTGCTCAGCTGCTACATATGACAGTGGATATTTCATTCTGCTGTCAGAATGTTATTAATAAAACATGGGGTGTGGAGAGGGCCACGATTTCCCCTTTCAATCACTGTAGCATTTGCAATGAAAATTTTATTCAGTGTGTAATTTTCAGTTAATGCTTGACACTTAAAATGTCCATAGCAGCGTTTTGTATGGTTATTGAAGGGTTAATTGTATCATGTTCTCTGCATAAAAGCTCTGCTTATCAAAAGCAAATAGAAGAGTGTATGCAAATGTGTGTCGGTGACCTTTTGCCTTTCCAGGGTTAATTTATATGGTCATTAAAGATTTTATGAAATTGAGCAGCCTGGTGCTTCAAATCCCATTTTACCTTCTTCTGCTAATTTATGTAATTCCTACCTGAACAGGGGAATATGATTTTTATTTTTCGTGCTGCAATGAAAACAGCATGCCATGCTGTGGGGAGTTGCAAGCCTGGTTATCTGGCATTACTCAGATTGCTAAAAATTCATTAAAATGTGACATCAGCGCAGTGAGAGACAAATGATCGCAGGATGAAAGAGAACAGTGGGCCTTTCACGGATTAGTGCTACACAGCCCCAGCATAGAGGCTAACTGCGTAAACAGATTAATCCACCAGCAGTGGCATAGCTAAGATTTACAGAATAATTAAAGAGGGTTGAGTTACTAGGAGGATTTCCATGTAATCTAGCTGGTGTGAACCCGTGAATGAGGTGTGGGGTGATGCAGTTGTCATAGAAGAACTATACCTTGTTCTGTCCTATGCCCTGCCGAGCTCCCCCTGTAGAAAAGAAAAACTCCAATGTCGCTGAAATGCCGAGTTCTCACTCTAGTGAAATTCCAAAGAATTCCTCTCAGGAGTAACACCTGTCTTATGGTTAACCTGTTGTGAGCACATTATTTCACTAAGAATGTTTTCTAAGAATCTGGTTTGCTCTGACACCTACCCAAGCCCATGGCAGAAGGTGCTGCTTCTGAAACTACAGAATTGTCTTACACCCGATTTTCAAGTCTTTTCAGCTTAAACTGAACTCAAATGATTTCATTTAAAAAAAAAAATTAATATAGACTTGGTATCAATGGATACAAAAGAAATGCTTTGGGTGAAAATTTGCACTGGTAGAGTCAGCATGATCTAATATGAACTTTTGCGTAAATTGATGTCTCTTTTGTGTAGGAGTATCTGCAGACGATTCATAGATGATAGTTTTTACATGGTCACCTAATTTATTTTAGTGTGCCTTTGAGGGGGGGTGTTTCAGTTCTACTGACTGGTCTGCCTTTCTTCCCAGATGAACAAAGTGAGGAGGCGGAAGGAGCTATTAAGCCTACAGCAGTGGCTGAGGAGGATGAGAAAGACACAAGTGAGAGAGACAATAGTGAAGGCAAAAACTCTAATAAAGACTCTGGTAAGATGCTAGAATCTTTCACCTTTCATTTCCATACACTCATTCCCTGCAATCAACCCTTCCTTTACCCCCCTCCCCACCCCTCTGCAATGCTTATTAAAAGCTTTTATTCATTCTAAACTGTCTGAACATTCCCACTGCTATTCACTGCATGTGCATTTTGCATGTGATTTCTATCAGTAGCCTCCCATTGACCTATTTTTAATCATAACCATCTGACAGAATAGATGTGGATAAGTTGAAGAATATTACAGGACGACCAGTGAGATTATTTTTTAATCAAATCAGTTTGTGTGCTTGTAATTTTTTAAGCGCCTTTCATTAATCTTAGCTATACTTGTGATTCCTCTGATGGCATATTAATTTTTCATAAGCACAGGATTAGATATCACTTGAATTTTGTCATTCAATCACATGTACCACTCCCCAAACCATGTAACCCTAAAAATAAATGCTATTTTTCCTTGCCTATCTCTTTTTTTTTTTTTTTTTTTTACAATTTACACTCAGGATTTTCCCTTTTTTAAGGGCATCTTTTTGTCTGAACATTCCCACTGCTATTCACTGCATGTGCATTTTGCATGTGATTTCTATCAGTAGCCTCCCATTGACCTATTTTTAATCATAACCATCTGACAGAATAGATGTGGATAAGTTGAAGAATATTACAGGACGACCAGTGAGATTATTTTTTAATCAAATCAGTTTGTGTGCTTGTAATTTTTTAAGCGCCTTTCATTAATCTTAGCTATACTTGTGATTCCTCTGATGGCATATTAATTTTTCATAAGCACAGGATTAGATATCACTTGAATTTTGTCATTCAATCACATGTACCACTCCCCAAACCATGTAACCCTAAAAATAAATGCTATTTTTCCTTGCCTATCTCTTTTTTTTTTTTTTTTTTTACAACTTACACTCAGGAATTTGCCCTTTTTAAGGGCATCTATTTGAGGCATTTCAAACAAAATCCAGTGAAAAAGTTTACAGATGATTCAGCCTAAGAAAGAGGAAATATCATTGAAAAGGGATTAGGTGCTGGGTAATTTTGATCTTCTAGAATAGACAAATCCCAGTAATGAAAGCTACTGTCTTTGAAAACAAACCTTCGTGTCATGACATTTACTTGTGCACAAACAAACCCTAGGCCAGCATCTGGTGTGGATACCTAAGGCTTTTTCTGTGTTTGATTTGGCAAATATATGACTTCATCCATGCTTTGTATGTATGAGATGGAAATCTATGGTCGCAATGAATATTACATTGGCTACTTTTGCTGCACGCTATACCTAGTTTTATTATGTTGGACTCATTGAAGCAGAAGAAGTGCTGAAACGGGTTCAAGCCTATTAGTTTCAGGTAGTCATCTATCTTTTCCTTGAATTCCAGTGACAGCCGCATATAAAGAAGCTTGTATTCACTATGAAGATATTGGGTTGTGCAAAAAATATCATTTTTTACATGCAAGTTTATTTAAACCTAAATTATCCTATATTTGTAATTCAATCTTTGCACGTCTAGGTGTTGCGTTCCTTGCAAAAATGATTTTGAAGGGTTACCCTTCTTGACCGCCTCCCACACTGTCCAATGACAAATTTCTTTCAGGAGTCCAGTGAGAAAAGCATTTGTTTCTGGAATGTGGTTTTAATTCCATTTAAACCACATGTATCTAAGGTTGGTATTGTATGTAAAGCAATGGTAAAAGATGCCATAGCTATATGTATGTGGACTGGCTCCTGAGGTTACTGGCAAGGATTTTGAAGTACCTACTGATCACTTGATATCAAGTAGAGCACCATCTAGACCTCATTTGAAAAGGATTGACTTTAGCAAGGTGGTCAGTTTATTCAGTCTCTATGATGGATCTTATCAAGACTAGCTGCTCAACTGGTTCAGAGAGGGCAGGATTCTGTCTGTATTGGGGCCGTATTTCACATGGTAGTACCAAAATACGTTGCAGAATATATACCTCCCTGTCTTCAGAAGAGTATATAAAACACACAAATACCACATTAGTGTTCCTTGAGTTCTCATGTAATACCTGGGCATATGACATCATGCTAAGTTTTGAATATCTAATCTCTAGTACCTTATAAAAAATGGATCCCAGGGTTTCCTTGAAAATACATCTCATCTTACCATTGAGGAAAGAGTCTTGCTTGGAGCATATCACAGATGCAGGGGTTCTATCGACACAAGTAGCTCTTAGCGCTCTACGTAAGTAATGGGCTCAGTCACTTCTCAACAGCTGGATGATTGTCCTTCCTTGACTGCCTAATTGTACCATCCAGACAGGACTTGGGTATCTGAGAAGATGCAGACCATTATTAAATGGTTATTATTTAAATCAATTTTATTGTCATAGAAATGCCTTCCTAGATATTTCCATTGGGATTAAAATGGTCTCTAAGCATGAACCAACTAAAAGCAATTGCAAATATTTAGCTTTGAAACTTCCCAGCCTTTAAGACAGTTCTTGTTATTGACAACTAATATGACTTTAAATGAAGTTTTCTACTTTCTAGATTGACACTCATAAGGCTAAAAAAATTATTACATGGAATTTTTTCCTTGTAGATATTTCTAATGATTGAATAACCACATATATGCATGCACACTTATTTTTTCCCTTATGTCAGTTATAAATGTCAAAAAATACTAGCAAGCTTATACATTAATAGCTATCTTAATATGTTAGATGGGAAAACTGTTTGACCCCACTTTAACATACAATTTTTTAGACAGGAAGGAATTAACACATGTTAGGAGGACTATGTTTGTATAAGCTGTTGTGCTGTGTTGCTGACATTAATCTGTGAGACTAGAGCTTTCAAAATGAGATTTGGCAATATGCAAGTTATATTTGTTGAATATTCATTCATAATAGAAAAGCCTCCTAATGCCTCATTTATATTGTCATTTAAATCTAGTGCCACTTTAGATTAATTATAATCCAAATTATAGCTCTGTGCAGTACAAGAATTAATATGGAGTTTATCCAGATTAATACATTTGCATTGAAAATGTAATATGTCTCTGCCATGGCTAAGGGGACCACTTTTTAATAAGGGAGTAAACATGAGGAAAGATGGAAATTAACCTTCATTATTGCAATTAAAATTATCCTTTCATTCTAGTCTCATTAAAAAGAATACTGTACTGGTAATTATAATTTAGAATTATTTGGAGTAGAATAGCATCCTCTGTTATAGCCAAGTTTTACAGAATTCAAACTTTATCAAATACATTGACTTATAAATAATAATTCTGTATTTGGGGTTACTGTTATTTCAGGATCACTTTGAGTACATGGGTGTTATTAGATTTTCCTCACTTGTTATGAGTATAAACCATGTACAACCTTCTGTATTTTAAGGATTGAAAATTAGTAAGTAGGCAGCATCTGAACTGAAGGGAATTATGTCATTTTTGTATTAGCATTCTCATGTCAGTTAAATAATCCCATAACTGACAGATAATCATTGGCTCATCTATTTGGCAGTGCTTGTTTGTAATTAAAGTTCATTTTTTAGTTAAAATGCATTGAAATGAGATTGTATTTTGAGAATATTGTGGTGTCCTTAATAATACAGAATTAATTATGATCCCATTTCAAAAAGTTCTTGAGGTTTAGGAAGGTAAACAAGGTTTATTTCTAATAAAGTTACAGGCATAAACTATGAATAATCACAAAACTTATCAAAACCTTCCTAAAATTAATTGGCCTTTTATTTAATAGTAGACCTTTCCAGGGTAATACAATGCAACAAACAGAAACCAGAGTTGATTTCCTGTAATTTATCAGGAATCTCAAACCTAAAACAGAATCTCTTTGCGTATAAAAAGCAAATATGCATAAAATGTTACTTCCATCATTTTTACTAGTAATCCTGACAACCTGCTTCATATTCAAGAGTCTATTTCTGTCACATGTTACTATACCTCAGTGTTCTCAGCTTTTTCTTATTATCAATGGCATGCATTTCTGGAGTGCCCAGCTAAAGTCAGGGAGTCTAGTCTTTATTTACAACCTCCTTTTCAGTTAAAATATCAATATAATGGGTTTTATGAAGCTCCTAGCCTATATGAAAATCATGATTTAATTAACTAAGTTAATTAGCCAGAAAAACATTGTAGCTGACGCATATATTTGGCTGAACACTACAGCCAACAGCTATTGCAATGGCCATGGGATAGTGACCCTAATACTTAACTCTTATTGATGCAACACATACCATCACTAAATTCAAAATTATTTATATTTTCATTGAATATTAATAGGCATAAAATCTATTCTTAATATATTTATAATAATGATACCAAGTGTGTACACAATGTATAGGGTTAGTACAATGTTTCAAGCCTTGAAATAAATACCTTTTTTATCCTTTATATTATTACTATTAGAATAAAACATGCATTATATATGCTTATGGAAATAAGTCCATAGTCATACATTTAATAGGTTTAGAAGTTTCTCGAAGGTTTATTCTCTTTCTCATGCTTGAAAGGGCCTGCAAGCAAAAAGAATCATGCAAATGCTTTTTAAACTTGTGTGTGACAGTCTTTGATAGCATAGGGAATTGGATCAATGATGAGGTACTTCAAAAAGTTTGTGGAAAAATGAAATGAAAGTATGAATTTATTTTAGTACAAATCCATTAGAAATACAGGCACACGTTTTTCCTAATAAGCATTTGCTGTAACCTTTTCAGAATCCTCTCATATTATTGGTTCTTCTCCAGTTCCACCATCTGCACAAAGGAATAATACAGGACTATGGCATAGAATTATTCTCTTGAGGAAACATTCTTACTATTAAAGGGGAACTCTTAAAGAAAAAAGTTCCCAAGAGAAAACAACCGATAGACATTTACTGATTTAAATGGCTACCATTTTATATAATTTGGAATTAAGTTTTAAGCAGTAAATGTTGTTTGCAAATACTCATTATCATATTGTTTCCTGCAATGTTTGTTTTTAACCCTTGTGAAACAATAGCATCAAGTATATGTTGCTTTGAGAAAGAAAAATTTCTTTACTATGCCAGAATTAATTAGAAGAGAAACACTTCCATTAAAAAAAAAATCTTTAGATATGGAATACTTGGATACGCGTAAATCAGTGTAAATTTTCAGTCTGTTTCTAATTTAAGTACATTCAACTACAAATGTAAACTATTTTTTAAATATCCAGAAAGAATCTAAATTTCTCCAAGGCACCTGCATATAAAGGACAAATGTACTAATTCAAATAAAATTTAGTTTTCATAAATCTGAGAATTATTATCAGTATAATCTGTTGAAAACTTAGTGCTAATTTTTTTGTCTACCACAAACCCCAATGGGATAAAATTATTGTCATTGTGTCATGTTAACCCTATTTTAATTATGATGTCCTTAGAATGACTCTTACTTTTAAATTTCTTTCTGGATTAGAAATTTCTGAAATTGTTTATGTGGTAAAATGCACGTCTATCTAACCAATGTAGAAATAGAATATATAGTTTTGTGTTCCCTTTTTTTACTTTATTTTCATTACATCCTTGACCTTAGTTTAAAATTAAAACTGGGTTATTTTGCAATGAGGTGCAATTTGTTCATTTATATGAACCGTGTGTGGATTGAAAAAGAATCAAGATAAATCTTCATGCACAGCATACAATCAGATTACGCCGGGACTATATATTTACGCAGAGTCTGATAGCAATCAATGGTTTAGCTTCATTGCATTTCAAGATGTATTTGCACCCAGTTGTCCAGTGATAGTGTCCTCACCCTGGAAATAATTTAGTTGCAAATTGACTGGAAGATGGTGAAAATTGAAAGTTAAAATTAGAAATACTCATAATAAACAGCAGAAAAAAGGTCAGATGATGCCGTGCTATGATGAGATTGGAATGGCTGGTAAATGAGGTTTTGTGTTTGTCGTGAGATGCATGTGACATGCGTACCCAATGTCGCTGTAATATCCAGCCTCGCAGAGGAGATTATCGGGCAAATGGATGCTGGAAAGAATTTTCTGTTAGATTGAGAAATTAGAATCGCACTCTTTTTCTTTGATGTCTGTGAAGCTCCTAAACATTTCATTGCGCGTCGAGGCAAAAATTTGAAATCGTGCTTAACACTTTAAGATTTGGATTAACCTCATAAACAATTGGATTGTAGCAAATTTCTAAAAATGTGTATGATAATGTTATGTGGATAGCCCCTTGTACATCAAAGAGTACATCACTAATGGGAGGGCAGATGTGTGATGTAGAGTTAATTTTTAAATCTTTTCAATATTTAAATCCATTTATGACAAAATATGACCGTTTTAGTGTTTAAATAATGACTCGTCAGCTCTTCTCAACATTTTGAAATCTTTTTAGCACCTAAGAATTGTAGAAAAGAGATAGGTAACATTGGTAAAAATAATGATTTTCTAAGTTAGCATTTGTGAACGGGAGTAGATTTGCTTTAATGTGATAAAGGCATTCTGAGACACCAGAGAGCACATGTTATTGATGAATCTTTCAAGGCCACCGAGGGTTATCTAAACACAAGACAGGAGGAGTACATTTTAAAATATATTTATAAAGTCCACTTAGTCGCTGGACAAAAAGACGTGTGCTTTTTGCCTTTTGAGATTAGCATCACTTAACAGTGCTTGTCTGGTTTGTTTTGTGTATGTAGAGTACCAATTCTTTGAAAAACATAAATTTTCTGATTTTGACATTGTAAGTGTTTTTAAACTGAGTCGTTCTATTTTTTTCTGGGAATTAGGGATAATCACACCAGAGAAGGAGCTAAAAGTCAGTGTGGCGGGGGGAACCCCGCCACACCTGCTGGCTAAAGAAGA